TCCCAGTTCGATGTAATAGCGGAAGAAAGTTACGGCATAAGTGGGAAGAATGATCTAAGTCACAGCGCTCAGATAAAAGAATGATCAGGGCCCTAAGAATATGGTAGTGGACGCAACACAGTCAGATAGCGAATATTATTAGTAGGGTATCTGATCTTACTGAGACACGTTTGGTATTTTGAAGAATTACTTCAGTTTAAAAAAGAATTATTATATATATTATAAGTCAATTTTATTGTTGTGTTATAATGGATTACGAGTTTGGAAGTGATCAAAGTTCTAAGGCAGGTGGCGAATTTGTCGTTTCAAAAACAACAAAGAAGAGAAAAATTATTGCCATGTAAAAGATGTAAAAAGATACTAAAGATGAAGAAAGATAAAATGCTTTTTATTAACCATTTAAAATTGACTGTAAAAAAGGCACGTTCGAGTCTTGGACTAATTTCTTGAAGCCTAAGTACCAATTAAAATGCCCAGTACGTACGAGGCCAATCAGATGTCTTTATGTGGATACTTCTACGCTAAGGTTAGTGCATCACCGTTCAAGTTTATTTGGTAGTCATTACAGCCATAAAATTCCCAATAAATACCAGAAAAAAAAAGGATGAAGGACTATCAACAAGAGAACAAAATTCCCTTACAAGAATTAAGAGTTTTGTATAAGGCCCAATCCCAATCTCTTGTGGGAAATACAATGACCTACAGTTTTTAACAAAATTTCTCATTAATACTGAAGCTAAAACCTTCTACAATAACTTGATGTGGGATAACCGTGAGAGTAATGATCAGCATGATGACGTATACTTGGACTTCATGAAAGACGATGATGAGTAAAGGTAAATATTTTTCTGCATTACAACTTATATTATGGACTTTTATCTGTTTTATTAGTACCCAGATTTAGCCCTATGGCTCACACTCCCTCTAAGGGGAAAATTCACTCATCCCAGATACCTACGGTATCAAAAGGATTGAGCTCTGGTGGGACTCTTTCCGTGTTATCGAGCCCTAGGTGACTTGGTATGTTGGAGTCTCTCCCAAAAATTTTCGTACACATCTGGACGTCGCGAGGAGTACAGCTTTCTGCATGGCCTTATAAAAATGTTCATTTAGACCCAGCTATTTTATGTTCGCTAGGAGGTTTTTGGGAATAACACCAGTAGTAGAGAGAACAATAGGTAGTGTCTGGGTACTTTCCATTCTCCATTGTCTCCTGATTTGTATTTCTAGATCTCTGTACTTGGCGATCTTTTCGTTGTATTTAACACCTAAATTATTGGTGTTGGCTATCGCCACATCAATAAGTGTTGTTTGTCTAGTAGGTTTATTAACTAGTATGAGATCCGGTCTATTATGGGCCACTGGTTGGTCTGTAAGCACAGTGCGGTCCCAGCATAGCTTGTAGTTGTCATTTTCAAGCATTCTATCGGGGGCGTATTGATAATAAGGAAGATGGTCGGTTTGGAGAAGTCCCAGTTTCTCAGCTAGTTCTTGGTGGATAATCTTTCCTACTGAGTCATGGCGTTCTTTATAATCAGTACCGACAAATGCCTGGCAGCCACCGGTAAGATGTTGGATGGTTTCTTGGGCTTGGCATCCATATCGGCATTTGTCATTTTGGACTTGAGGATCTTTAACAATATATTTCAGGTAATTTTTAGTTGGAATAACCTGATCCTGAATGGCAAGTAGGAAACCCTCAGTCTCGGGAAGCATCTTTCCTGATGTCAACCAATAGTTCGACGCTATATTGTCGACATATTCTTGGTTGATCTCATTGAGATGTCGTCCATGCAGAGGTTTACTCATCCAGGTGCGCATTTTTTTGCTGAGTCAGGTGGTTCATGCGCATTTCTTGTTCCCTCAGTTTAAGCGGCGTCGTAACATCTACTGCGCAAATTGCTCGATGTAAAGTAGATGTCTCAGCCTGTACCTGAAAATAAGATCTTAAATTAGCAAGTTGTTTATCTAATTGCTCACCTATGTCCATATGTCCTCTTCCCCCTTGATACCGTGGTAATGTTCTTCTCTCTACTGCACTACGTGGATGATGTTTTTGCGGCCTTTGTGAGAAGTATTCTTACTTTCCCCTGAAGACCCTCTATATCCGTTTTTGACCACTTTATAATACCAATGAGTAGCTCAGCGCGGAACAGGCGTACGTATTTAATGCCTTAAACAAATTTTTACTATTTTTAAGATATGACCGATTTAGTTGTCTTACTCTTCGCACGAACTCCGAAGTTAGTTCCGTTTTCATTTGTTTATGGTCAATTTTCCGCGCTTGTTTTACTCCGAGATATTTGTACATATCATTTTCACCCATTGCCTCGAGGTTTTGACCATCTTGCATATCGAAACCTCCGGGCTGAACCTTTCCTCTGACTATATTTATTATACGGCACTTGTCTAGTCCAAAATGCATACTGATATCATTTGAAAATTTTCTACAGTTTTTAGCATCTCATCTAGTGTTTCGAGTGGAAGCCATTAATTTTAAATCATCCATATACAACAGATGATTAAGTTTCTCTACAACAGTGTTCTTATTTTTGATGCTAAATTCTGAGTCGTAGAGTTCAGCAGCTGAGATAGTGGGTTCATCGCTAGGCAGAACAAAATGGACTCAACGAGTCCCCTGGAAAAGGCCCCGGTTAACAGAGATATCTTCAGTTTTGATATTAATTTCACCAGGTATTTGAAGGTGAATTTTAGTCTTCCACTCTGCCATTATATGCTTCAAAAAGGTCACGAGATTATTATCGACTTTATATATTTTAATATATCTATAAGCCATTCATGCGGCACTGAATCAAAAGCCTTCTTGTAGTAAATGAAGGCAGTAAAAAGGTTTCTTTTTTTGGTGTATGCCTGGTTAGAAATGACTGAGTCGATAATAAGTTGTTCTTTGCATCCCATGGAGCCCTTAGCGCATCATTTCTATTGGGGCTCTATGATATTGTTCAGAGCACAGTGTTGGTAGATACGCGGGCCACACAGGATGTGACCAATTTGTACAAAGTTGGAAGACAAGTAATTGGGCGGTACTTGGCTGGATCTTGGGTGTTATTTTGATCCTTCGGTATTAGATAAGTGGTTCCCTGAGTAAGGAATGATGGTATTTCCTGTGAATTAGAAATAATATTATTAATAAATACTGTTAAAAGCTCATGAACACTCCAAAACTTCTTTAGCCAGAAAGTTTTGAACTCCGTCTGGTCCAGGAGATTTCCAGTTATGAAGCTCTTTGATAATGTTCGAGACTTCTTCAGTGGTGAAAGGTTCATAAGGAATATTCCTGTAGTGTTGACATTTGTTCGTGGTGTCTTCAATCCATCCAGCATTGTTGTTATGGGTAGCTGGCGTCGAAAGTTGGTTTCCTCAAAACTCATGAATTTCTTCTTGGCTTGGGTAGGATTTATTTGCATTTTCTACAGTGGAATTAAGTTTCCTATAGAAAGTTTTCTCTGCTTGCTCAAAAAGTATATTGTCGCATTTCCGGTTGTTACTAACTTTGTATCTCCTCAGGCGGTCTGAGTAAACAGATAGTTTTTGTTTTAATGTGTCCAGGCATTGTTGAGGTGTGTTGTTTTCTGGATCATATCGTGAGTGTCTTATAGTGTTAAACAATATTTCTTCAGCTCTTTTGATGATTTTTCTACTTCTTATTCCTCTTATGTACTCTGTTATTTGTTCAATGTCCCTATGCAGTAATTCGATCTTCTTCAGCAGTCGTTTTTCCCAGGGTGCTATTTTGTTACCAGTCCTTCCGATGTTGGTAACCCGTTGTATTCTGATCTTAATGCCCATAACATTAGCAATTGCTGTCGCTGCACAGTAAATCAGCATATGCAAATATTTCAATGTGTGGGCTTCTGTGATATAATTGGGTAGGACTTCAGTATTCACAATTTGTAACAGCGCTCCTAGTTTCATGGAAGAGTTTATTTTTGGTAACGGTGGTCTGCTAAGTGGGTTTGTTCCACTAAACTCTTGTACGGTGCGCGCCATTTCGTTTACCAGTATTATATACCATTATTATACCAGTTATTAGTACTATTAGTATTATTCTTATTAGTATATATAGTGTTAGTAAAGATTATCAACATTAGCAGATACACTAAAACTCATACTACAATTGGGTTTTATTCCAGAACACTGCCCATCAACCAGAGTGCTGATGGAGGCCAAAAGAAAATTTAAATGGAGCACCTATTTTTAATATTACCAATACATATAGTTTTTTTTAGGTTTTATATCACATATAACATGATGTAAAATTAAAATTAAGTTTTTAGAACAGAAATTGAACCTTATTTTTAAAGGATAAACTTTGTTTTTCGTCAGCTGAAAAATTTTGGCTAAATGGACTAAAACCGTTTTCCTCCTGGCCCTTTAATTGGGTAATTCAGAATTTTTTTCTGCAATAAACTGATTATCCTTCAATTTTCTTTTCATATTATGTATATTTCAGAGCGTTCTGTTACTTCGACTGCCTTTTGAATGACCACAAGATCTAGGCTTTTTTTTTCGATTTCCAAAACAATAATTTTTAATAAATTTTAATAATATAAAACACTTGCTCGCTTTTATAAGTTTTAGAAAGCAATTGTCGAGTTTTAGGTGCACAGGTGAAGCGAGGTGCTTACCGTTATAAATCCAGCTATAACTTAGTTTCTCTTTCGAATTTTTAAATAAAATTTTAGGACAGTATTTCTATGATACTGAATATTTTTATTTAAAAAAAAAACAAAAATCGGTTTTTTGAAAGTTTATATAGTAAAAGTCCCTTTCATAAATTTGGAATTTTTCTTTAATAAAGTTTTTTTTTCGATAATTAACAAATGTCAATGGTATGTCGTCTAAAGACTAAATTAGGATTTTTTGCTTTATATATAAAATCCGAAGAAATAGCTAATATCTATAAGTCTATACAGACTAAAAAGTAGTAGGCAAAATACAGGGTTAATTTATTGTATAGGTACATGTTTATACTTTTAGGGGATTCAGGTGGCCCACTTCAAGTCAAAAACAGATATAAAAATGTTTCGGATACAGGCTTCACGATAATTGGAATCACATCTTTTGGTAAAGCATGCGGTATTACTAGGAGCCCAGCAGTATACACAAGAGTTTCATATTACTAGACTGGATTGAAAGCATTGTGTGGCCTGAGGAATACAAAAAAGCACACCCAACATTCAGACCAAAGTAGAAGGACATGTTTGTTCGAAAATATTTTGTGTTTTCCTTCTGTAGAGATGAAATTTCGTAAATGCATTTAATAAAATAAATTTTCTTTCATTTCTTGATAGTTCTAATAAGGTCAGAAGTTTTTTTAAGGTGGCAATTATACCACATAAATAGTCAAAATAATTGCGTATTATTGCATATTAATTAAACGAGTAGTTTATGAGAAACAACACTTAACCAATATTAAATTGAAACCGTACAACTAACATTAACAACCAAATTTCTAAGTCTACTGGCCGCCTTGTCACAAGAATTTATATTCGCATTAAAAACGACACCTTTGTTTACAAATCCAACCTTTGAGGTGTTAGCCTTACACGTCTGCTACGTCGTACATGCACCTCTTGTTGATATAATAAAATACGTTTTAGTGCGCTGTAATGCCAGTGTACTCGCCAAAGTGATTCTAAAAAGAACACACTTACCGCCTAAATATTTCGTGTTGGTATCATGTGAAATCACGGGCTATGACGCGGATGACGTGCAACGGTAAGTAAATTAGATGAAGTATATATGTATGTTAAAAACTTTCTTTGTAGATATGGTAGATTGTGCAATTGTATCCACAATGTCAAGAAAAGCCAAGTATTTTTAATACCAGTGGATAGCCAAGCCATTTGTCAGATCTGGCTGATAATATAGAATTACGAATTCGTAATAAATTACGAATATGTTTAATTGAAGTAGCCAACCCCCTTAGAAATAAAGGGAAAGGAACATAGTATGTGGATAAACGAATAAAATATACAGAACAATAAAAAGAGCTTATATTACCAAAATATTTTCAGTCATAGCTAAATTAATTAAGAATTTTCCTAGTTTTTTATTTGACAATTTAGTTTCTATGCTGGTAACCTTGACTCCTTCTTCTTTATTATCGCAAAAGGATTTAAGGTATTTAAAAAGATCCGACGTTTTTCGAGCCACAGCAGCTATCAGATCCTGTTCACTCACATCACTTTCCGAAAGCTGTACCAGAAAATGAGCTATTTCTTTGTGTAAAGTGCTCATTTGGAAATCATCTGTAAAAAACAATATGATGTTTTAAAGAATACAACTTCTAATTGAAATAAACGATCAGGAGCAATTTTTTTTATTTTTAATCATATCAACTACTATGAGAGTAGTAAGCGTTATATAATAAGTTACTTGAAAGTTGGGTATTACAGTGAGATCATTTTGAATTATAGTAAATTTCAATCTAACAAACATTTTATATGGGATTCAACGATCGTCAATATTTATAAATTGATGTTGGGTGGTAATAGTGGCAATACCAATTTGACAGTTTACGTTACTTATTACTTGCTCTTGTAGGCAAATACAAAATTTAAGTGAAATTTTGAGAGCTGTTGTTGTTCCTTCGGATTTGGATTTTTGAGGGCTCTATATTAAGAAATACAATATGGGACGTCTAAATGATGAAATCTTAACGATTAAATCAAATACAACAGACTGTCATGCATACAGTAACATACATTAAAACGCAGACGATAAAATAAAGCTTAAAAAGATGCTGTCGATAAAAGTTAATATCTATAAAAAAAGACAGAATTATTAAAAACTAAATAATAAAATAATATACTACAATCAAACTGCGAATACAAAAATAGATAAATTTTTGACAGATCCGTATCAATCGTATGCAATGCAGGGTACTACAGGGATGTTCCTCTACTCTTTAAAATATACCCAGATCAAAGGAGATTAAACGCCGTAGAAGATGTGGACAATGTCATAAAGGCAACGATACAATCATAATACACATACAGCAGAAGACACTAGTGTCCTGCACAATAGAAATAAGTCAACTATACAAACCAACCCTGAATTATGTAAACCAAATACTCTCTCTAGTTTTTAGCCAGGATATTGTTTGTCTTCCCTTATTTAACTTTCCTAGAATTTTGTCTTGCATAATGTATTGTAATAATGAGCTGTAGGTACCTATTAACTACCCATCATATGTACTAATTATTCAAGTTTTCGTCTTTTGATAGTGAATATGATTTCTGTTAATTTGCGATTCAAGGGCGAATATAATTCATTTAAAGGCACTCGTTCTTGTGTCGTTAGCACGTAAAAAAGAGTAGCATGCCTTGATTGGTTTGGTTTATATTTGATGCTATACATATTAACTAATATTAGTAGGTATTCATGGTTTTAATTACAATATCTTCAATAAACAGTTTGCCAATGATGCACATAGGTTTTTTAATTGATCGTTAGCCGCCATTCGTGAGAGCATACATTAAGGCATTGCATTACATTATGTAAACCATTGTAGTAATATGTACTTAACACTGTATCTTCTGCAAGTTTTTCTTGATAGAATGTAAACATACGCAACAGTAAACATTAAGTAAAATTTCGGGAACTTCTTGATGTTATTTTGGACGCAAAAATATCCCTGAAAAGCAATAGTGACATTAGTGAAGTCGTACAACAATTTACTAATAGAATACAAGAAACATCCTGGCAATCAACACCAACAAAACCAATGTAGAAACAATATAAATGATCTTACTTCAGTCGTTAGAGACGAAAATGCCATTAAAGCTCTAAAGATTATAGACATAAGCTGAATTTTTCTGAGAATATCAATTTTGGGAGCTTAAACAAGATTCAAAAACGCTAACCACTTTTAGCTCTCGACTTACCCCAAAAAGGTCCCCGAATCTCCATGCCGTAGAAAGAATTTGTTAAATAAAAAATGTGTTAAATAAATTTTAAATGAAATTTGTATAAACTTAACGGTAAAAATTCGATATCTTTTGATCAAAGCATTGACAAAAATTAAAATGCGTTTTAAAAGGTAAAGAGTGCAGCTTTTGTAATTTTCATTGTAGGATCCTAATCTTTAAAACCTATAGGCTTTAAAACATGAGGCATTTAAAATATTCTAAAAGAAAACAAAGGTGCAGTGTAAAAGTGTTACTTTTTCTGGACTAAAAACTGTAAGTTTGATTTTCCTACTTAATCTATAATAAATCAAGGATAAACCATTTTGCCGATTTGGAGTGAGTGTTAATTACCAGTCCTTCCGTTTATGATCCATTATAAGCACCAGGCCGTATTCAGGTTATTTAGCTCAAGCATGGAAATGTATTCAGCAGCGGGAACTTCCACCAATGAAAAGTTCTGGAAATCTACTTATAAACCAACCTTAAAAATTATAATCTACAAATCTTCATCAACCTACAACTAAATTTACAAACAAAAAACAAGCAATTTGTCATATACTTGACTCTTGACTTTTAGGAGTTTCATGACATGACACTTGTCGGTTGACGTATAAGATATACATAAGTTACCACGCACATGTTTAATTAGTAAGTGAAATAAAGGAATATAAAATACATTCACCATTTTTCATTACGTTACAACTACATACACAACAGTTTGGCGACGAGGACGGTCGAATCTACAAGGAAATACAAACTTAAGGCCAGTATACATACATACCCTAACTGCAGCGTGGTGAACTAGTGAAAATTTACAAATCTACATACATAAGTGAAATCCTGTTGATTTACAACTACATATACATTAAAAGGATGACTGAGACTACAATTCATTCAGTTCACACCGTATTTAGCATTGAAACTTACGATACATCCAAGAATTTTGACCGGTGGTTACAACGTCTTCAGAGTGCATTCAATGTTTTTGCAGTACCAGAAGACAAGAAAGCCGCATACCTTTTACATTACATGGGTCCAGATGCATATGATATTCTTTGTGACAAGATTTCACCGGAAAAATCAGACGAGAAATCATATGATGAACTGGTAAATACAATGAAACTACATTACAACCCTGAACCGTTGGAAATAGTGGAAAATTTCAGATTTTCACAAAGAAAACAACATGAAGGGGAAAGTGCCAATGAATACATTACAGCTTTACGAAGATTAGCCACAACTTGCAAATTTGGAGATTATTTAAACAAAGCCCTGAGAAACCAATTCGTATTTGGTCTTCGAAACCAAAATATTCAAAGCAGACTCCTAGAATACAAGGACCTTAAGATAAAGAGAGCATTAGAAGTTGCCGTCAGCATGGAGACATCAACCGGAGATGCAGCTCGATTACAGAAGTCAAATACAAGTGCAAATCTAAATAAAGTTTCTAGTGTCAAGAATAAAGAAGGACACATACAACCTACAAATGGGAAAAGAAATGATATTCATCATAACCAAGCTAAAAATACTATTTTGTTTTAGATGCGGATCTTCGCAATATATTGCAAACAAATGTAATAAAACACATTTAAGTCTGTTAGCAAATGTAAACGAGGAGGTCATCTGAGCAAAGTATGCATGAAAAAAGTAAAGTTCAAATCAGTAGATCAAGTGGAAAAAATGTTCAACATTCATTCAGATCATTCATACTATAGGGAAAAATTTATAATTTCAGTTTGAAGTCAACAAGGTAAGCCTATCTTTTGAAATAGATTCAGGTGCAGCTGTTACATTATTAAATTTGAATGATTTTAAAACATATTTTCCTAATTTAAAAATACAAATACTGATTTAAAATTAGTTACATATTGCAAACAGGCATTAGATGTGGTGGGTGTTTCAGAGGTGAATGTCAAGTACAAGGGAGATACAAAATGTTTAAATATGTACGTAGTAAATTCAGATAGACACCATTAATGGGTCGGAATGGATACGCCAGTTAGATATAATCTTTAATAACATTTCAGAAGTATCTGAATTTACAAATAAAAAACTTAACAATGTACTTACAAAATATTCGGTAGTTTTCCATGAAAGCATGGGCATAATTCAAGGCTTACAAGCCACATTAAAAGTTAAACCAACCACTTCACCTTTCTTTATTAAAGCAAGGAAGATACCATATGCGTTATTACCAAAAGTGGAACAAGAACATTACGAAGTTAGAACAAAAGAAGGTATTTTAGAAAAAGTTAATAGTGCTGAATATGCTACACCTATAGTACCAGTTATGAAAAGTAATGGTCAAGTACGGATTTGTGGAGATTTTAAAAGTACACTTAACAAGCATTTAGTGGTAGACGAATACCCATTGCCTACAATTGAAGCTCTATTTTCTACCATGGCTGGTGGAGATAAGTTTACAAAGCTTGACTTACAACAAGAAGCATACCTATAAATGGAAGTACGCCCAGAAGATAGGAAATACTTAACACTTAGTACACCCAGGGGATTGTATAGAAGTACAAGATTAATGTATGGTATTTCCAGTGCACCTGCAATATGGCAGAGGGAAATTGAAACCATTTTAAAAGATATCCCAGGAGTGACAGTTTTCCTAGATGACATAAAAATTACAGCACCCGATGATGAGTTACATTATCAAAGACTAGAATTAGTTCTTAGCAGACTTGCAAAATACAATATTAGAGTCAATCATGAAAAATGTCAATTTTTAGCAAATCAGATTGAATACTGTGGATATAAAATTGACAAAAATGGTATACATAAAATCAAAGAAAAGATGGAAGCTATACAGAAAGCAAAAACACCTACAAACAAGACAGAAGTTAAAACATTAGTAGGACTCATAAATTACTACGGACGGTTCTTACAAAATTTCCTTTTTTCACTGTTACTAGGCTTGTAATAGTCAGAAAATAAATTTTTTCTGTCTTCTTAGCTTATATTTTTGACACATTTATAAATGCATTTCTTGAAGCAGTCTTTATGTGTTTTATCTCTCTTGCTGGTCTTAACTTCTTTCGTAAAGAAATGTATTCTAGCCCTCTATCAAAATTTTGTTTTTTAATATTGCAGGCCTAACGCTCGGGAGTTCCAGATCTCTTTTTAGTACGTTTTTTCTCTTGTAAACTGTTATTTTTCTGCGGTTGATTTTGGGAATTTTACTTATATTGCTGATGTATATTTCTTTATTTTCCCTGGAAAAGTTGTCTTTTACTGGAATTGTTTGTTTTGTAATATATAAATCGAATACTAAAATTGATGACAGTTTCTATATATTACACGTGTTTATTCTGAGTTTGGAAATTTCACTAAATTTTCGAAAAACAAAGTCGTATGTTTCAACATGCGACTATGTTGCGCTCCTTTCATATTTTTATATCATACACCAATGATTTTCGATTAATTTTAGAGGATTGCATGCAAATATTTTAGATTTACAAAGTTCTATGGGTGCATTATGATACATAGAACCATATAATCTTAAAAGTGCTGGTTTTTTAATTTTGTTACATACAGCCTTGTAATACTCAGGTAGCGACATATCAAACTCAAACCACCAATAATCATGTCGGCCTGTGTTATTGGTAAATCTATTTTTTCTTATTTTCCCCCCTACGAGGTGACAGTTTAGGGGAAACAGAATTGTAAGAGTGGTCAATTTTTTTGCATCTTGTTTGGGGTCCCAAAATTGACATTCTCAGCAAAATTCAGTTTGTTCATATCATTTTTAGAGGTCAAATCTCTGACGACTGGACTATCTAGTAAAAGAGAACACGTGCATCACCGGATCAAACAAGATTAAACCAAGTTTACAGCATAGTTAAACACTTTTTTATATACGCATAAAAATAATAGTATTCAGTATACTCAATCCTTCTATTAAATTAAGTAATTGACACAGGCACAAGAGCAATAGGAAAAAAGCCGAAGACCTTGCCGAATCATCTCGTGGAAGTGTTTCAGAGATACTTTTCAGACAACAATCTTGATAACAACAACAAAATTTGCTAAATGTTGGTTTAGGTCTACTACAACAGGTAAATTTGGAAAAGTTATAAACAAGTCAAAATTTCCATGATGTTTTCAAACATCCGGAACAGGTGGGCACTACAAGAAGAAGAAGGATGTGTCTTTCTTCTGACTGTCCTTCATTGACTATTTTATCAAAAAACTAAAAAGATAAAAAAATACCTATGTATTAAAAAAAATCATGCTAATCGGAGAAAAGGTTTTGACAAAAGTATTAAATGCGCTAAAATGCAACACTTGTTTTAATTGATGATAGTAGATAAAATATTCTTTAAGTCGTATTTATCGAATCAAATTAACTATTTAAGAAATTATTGTTTCAAGGACTGACTATTAAAAAGTTTGAGATAAAAATAGATACAAGAAATAACTAACTATCTGTGATCTTTATGGTTCAATTAAAAACAAAACGATTACACAAAAATACAATGTTAGATAATCTTAATAGTACAAGTAATATTAAGTAAGAATAAATATTAACTGTCTCACTATCTAAGTTATACCGAGTCGACCACAGTACAGTAACGTACATTGGTCCCAATGATCGATACGACCTTGACCGACAGTAACAGTAACAGTTCCAATTAGGTCCTACCTTTAGCCTTATCAGTAAGTGTTATCGATTGTGATTCTAGATCGACAAATACATCAAATATATTTCTATGATGTAATAGATTCTTGTTTGTTGTACCAATTAAGCTATATGTCGACACCTGAAAATGAAAAAATAAAAATTAATAAACTGTAAAACATTAAGTGATAAAAATAACACTTGATATTTTTGTGATACAAATATAAGCAAGTGTAAAAAAATTAAAATATAAAGTTTATTAACTAATCAATTAAGACGAAAAGAAAGCACAGAAAAAGCAAACACAGACAGCAAAAATGGTTGAAGAACACAGAAGATAATTAAATAGTATTTATTTATTAATCTTTTAGTAGAACTAATGATAGTTCAATGTTGAGATCAAGTTTATAATCCCAAAAAACTGCTTTACTCCAGTAAATGGCCGTTTTGGAGTGTGAATTTCCTCATTTGCTTGACAATTTGGATTTAGGTTCCTCTTACCTTCTACTTTACTTTTGGACTTGAGCCCAGGGTTGCTTTCATTTGGGAGGAGAAAGCCACTCCTCTCAGGGATGAAAACATATACGTTTAAAATAAGTCCAGAAAAGGATAAATTCTTCTTCTTTAAGTTCCATCTTCTATCGAAGGTTGGAAATCATCATGGCTATGCGGACTCTGTTGACTGCCGCTCTAAAAAGTTCTGCACTACTGCATTCAAACCATTTCCTCAAGTTCTTAAGCCAGGATATTCTTCGTCTTCCCACATTTCGCTTTCCTCGGATTTTTCCCTGCATAATAAGTTGTAATAATGCGTATTTTTGCCCTCTCATCACATGTCCCAAGTACTCAAGTTTTCGTCTTTTAATAGTTAATATTATTTCCGCCTCATTTCCTATCCTTCTAGTTACTTCCATGTTTGACATTCTTTGAGTCCATGATATTCGTAGGATTCTTCTGTAACACCATAATTCAAAGGCGGCCAACTTATTCAGATGAACTTGTTTTAGTGTCCAAGTTCCAGACCATAAAGAAGAGTAGAGAACACGTAACATCGAAGCATTCTCAGGCGTAGTTCTAGCCTTATATCCCGACAACAAAGAAACTTTTTAAGTTTAATAAATGATGTACGTGCTATTTCAATACGTGTCTTAATTTCTTTGGTTTGGTCTACATCTGATGTTATCCATGTTCCTAAGTATTTATAGTTATTAACACTCTCAATTGCAGTATCTTCAATAGTCAATTGGATATTTGCATGTGCAGATTTAGTCATGATCATGCATTTAGTTTTCTTTAAATTTATCTTCAGTCCGTACTCATGACAGCGTTCATTAAGGCGTTGCATTACGTTCTGTAAATCATTGTTGTTATCCGTAATTATTACTGTATCGTCTGCAAAACGTAAGTTATTCAAAACTTCTCCATTGATAGATATACCTTCTATTGAGTCTGAGAGCGCTTCTTGAAATACCGCTTCACTGTAGACATTGAAAAGTAGTGGGGACAGCAGGCAACCCTGGCGGACTCCTCTCTGTATTTTGATATTTTCGGTGTACTGGCTGTCAACTCTTACCTTGGCAGTTTGATTCCAATATAAATTAGATATAATTTTCAGATCACGACTGTCAATATTTTTGCTTTTTAATATATCTACAAGCTTTTTATGTTGAACTTTATCAAATGCCTTTTCAAAGTCTACAAAACATAAGTACATATCCTGATTCATGTCCATGCATCTCTGAGCCAGCACATTCAAGCCGAACAAAGCATCTCTTGCACTCATACCATTTCTAAAGCCAAATTGTGTGTCACTAATCTCATATTCAAGAGTTTTAACAATTCTGCTGTGAATTATTTTCAAAAATATTTTAAGTGTGTGACTCATTAAAGCTATTGTTCTGTGGTCTGAGCAAGTTGTTGAACTTGGTTTTTTGGGAATTGCTACAAAGGTTGATTGCAGCCATTGTCTGGGGATTGTGGCAGTCTGATATATTAGATTAAAGAGTTCAACCATTACATCAATAACATATTCATCGATGAGTTTTAATAATTCGATGGGCACCTCATCTGGTCCAGTGGCTTTACCCTCTTTTGTGTTTTTGATGGCAAAGATGACTTCTTCTCTTTATATTGGTGGTCCAGTATCTTCGGTGATTTCTAATGACAGTTCTTCTCTTTCATCATTAAATAGTTGTTGAATGTAATTGGTCCAGTGACATAATCTCTCCTTCATATCAGTAATAATATTCCCTTTATCATTTTTAAGGATATTCGTTTTTGTACGCTTTCTAGAACCTGTCATTTCTTTGATTTTTTTGTGTAAATTAAAGCTATCGTACTTTTTATCCAGATCTTCTATTTCCTTGCATCTATCGGAGAGCCACCTCTCTTTTGCCTCTCGAATTTTCTTTCTGATGTTTCTCTGAATTTCTTTGTATTTATTCAGGTCTTTTGCTTTATGTTTTCTTCGTTCTTCCATGAGTTCAAGAATTTTCTACTGTCATCCAAGGTTTTGTTTTTTCTTTAAGTGGTTTGAGGGTTTCTTTTCCAACTGACACAAGGGCATGTTGAATTTTTCCCCATATTTGGTCAACAGTTAGAGTTTCTGCATTATCTTCTTTGACTTTCCTTAAGCTCTCGTTTATTTTAAATTTGGTTTCCACATATTTGTTGTCTTGTTTATAAGGATAAATTGATTATCTAATATATAAAATTTCCCTGTCACAATGTTTGTTACCGTACTCCTCCGAAACGGCTTTACCGATCTTTACCAAATTTTATATGCGCATTCAATAAGTCTGAGAATCGGCTACTATCTATTTTTCATACCCCTAAGTGATAAGGGTTGTTCACCCTTAATTTTTTTTTTTTTAATTTTTCGACGAAATTTTTTATTTTTGTTTTTTTTTATAATGTTGCATTAAAAAAATACATACAACCCTAAAATTTTACTTTTTTATCATCAACCCATATTTTTTATGGCTATTTTAGTAATTTAATCAGTTTTCGTCTCGCTCGATAACTGATCAATTATAGTGTTTTTAACTGTACTTCGATTAAAAATCTAAAATGTTTTTTAAGAAAATAAACATTTTATTTTTATTATTAAAGTTTAATCCTGATATATCATGCTTAGTGTTACCAATCTTAGATTCTTCAAATTAGCCGCACCAATACTGGTGAGTGAAATGCCACACTATACCATAAACTGAAGCCCTTCTCCTGGTTTACTCACAAGACTTCTCTCACTCCCTACACAGTTTTCGGCCATCCATGATTATTGTTTATGTATCAAGTGTAGTAGTAATGTTCACAATTATCAATTTTCTATTTCTGTGTAACTCTTATAATAACTATTAATTATTACTATTTTATTCATATTAATACCATTATCGTATATAGGCAGTCCACGTCATATGGAAGAATATATACAGGATGCTATGGCTTACGTTCGCGAATATGGACGACCGTATTTATTTATCACGTTCACATGTAATCCAAAATGGCCAGAGATTACATCTTTGCTATTGCCTGGCCAAAATGCAATACATCGTCATGACATTACACACGTGTATTCAGACAAAAGTTGAAGTCTCGAATAAGTTACATTACTAAATTACATGTATTCGGTCCCACACGTTGCTGGCTGTATTCAGTTGAATGGCAAAAGAGAGAATTACCTCATGCGCACATTTTGGTTTGGTTAATCGACAAAATCCGTCCTGAAGAAATCGATAGTATCATTTCTGCGGAAATTCCAGATCCGTCTACTGACGAAGTGCTGTTTGATATTGTTACAGCAAACATGATCCATGGTCCATGTGGTACTCTTCATCGTTCATTGCCTTGCATGGCATATGGAAAATGTACTAAAAATTTCCCTAAAGATTTCACTAATGATACGATAACAAATACCAACGGATATCCAATATATCGTCGAAGAAGTCCCGATAATGGCGGATACTCATTTATTAAAAATATCAGCAACACAGACATTGACATTGACAATCGTTGGATGGTGCCGTATTCACCTCTTCTAAGCAAGACATACAATGCTTATATTAATGTTGAGTTTTGCTGTTCTGGGAAGGGCATCAAATACATTTGCAAGTATGTCCATAAAGGCAGTGATATGGCTGTGTTTAGAGTAGAAAATACTAATGTAAATTAATAAAAACGATGAAATTACGTTCTACCAAATTGGACGGTACATCAGCTCCAATGAGGCTGCTTGGCGTATCTTCGGTTTTCCAATTCATGAACGGGATCCAGTAGTTGTTCATTTAGCCGTCCATCTTGAAAACGGCCAGCGTGTATTTTTCACAAATAAAGACAGTGATTGATCGTGCTACAAATCCACCTAAAACTACACTCACAGCATTTTTTGAATTATGTAATAGTGTGGATGATTTTGGTGCATTTGCAAAAACATTACTCTATTCACAAGTACCACAATATTTCACATGGGATCGAACAAAAAAATGAATGCCTTGCAAGCAAGGCTCACCAGCTGATGCATGTCTCAATTTATTTAATAACTGTTGTTGGTTGATGTTACTGCCCCATTATCATTTCAAGATATACTTAAAGTGAATGGGCAACAGTATCTAGGACAAGCTGCATTGAACTGTACAGCAATACAAATTCAAATATAGTGTTGACTACATGTTTCCCAGCTCGAGCACAGATATTGTGGAATAATCACAAATATTCAATTACTGATGATATATTGCATCAACATCGTACACGGTGCCACGATCTAACGATAACATTCAGCGACGCTATGTACAATGAAGCATTTATTGCTATTGATGATCTTTGCATTGTCATTAACCAACTTATCACTCACTCATTTCGGTATGAATTCGCCAGATCGAACTGCACCTGATTTAATTAACATTGAAATGAATCGTGAACTGCAGTACAACACTGTAGAAATGGCAGCGATTGTTAGTCGCAATATCCCACTAATGAATGATGAACAAAAAACCATTTATGATCGCATTTTGCTCGCAGTTTCAGCAGGACAAGGTGGGTTCTTCTTTTTGGATGCATCGGGTGGAACTGGCAAAACATTCCTTATTTCACTAATTCTTGCTGAAATAAGATCAAATAATGGCATCGTATTGGCCGTTGCATCAT